CCCTTTAATGAATCTGAAACTCATGCTAACTTCAGCATTGTGAATTTACTATGACTAATCTGAATCCAAAGCTGACATTAAAATTGTATATTCACATGATGAATCTGAAAATGTAGCTAACTACAGCATTCTGAATTCACTTTGATTAATCTGAAAATGAAATCGGTGCTAACTTCAGGATTGTTAATTCACTTTTATGAATCAGCATCTGAAATCAAAGCTTACTCAGTATTGTAAATTCATTTTAATGAATCTGAATCTGAAAATGAACCTAACTTACTTTTAAAATTATTTTTAATTACTTTTAAAGGATTGTGAATTAACTTAAATAAATCTGCATCTGAAATCAAACCGATCAGTAATGTAAATTCATTTTGATTCACTTTTACCTGAACCTAACCTACTTTTTAATTCTTTTTGAATTGATTTTTATTTGGTAAGATAAATTCATTAAACCATCTTTGTCTTGGTCATATTTCTCTGGAACACCATGTTGAAAATACTGCAAAGAACAAAAATATGTATGTATCAGTGAATATCATGTTACCAAATTCCAACTGCTAGTGTTATCTTATTGAGGTTAAGCAGATTGGAAACTTGACCCCTATTCACCACCACATATTTCACACACATTTCTGTGAAACTAAGGTTTGCAACAAATGAGTGAAAAATAGACAAAATTGTTGTGTAAATTCCAGAATGTTACAGACTCAAAATTAATATTAGACTGAGATATACAAAACAAATTGAATCAACACTACCGGTACATTCAATTCACAAAACACCCAAATTTGTACTGAAACATTTTGCTAATGTTTATATGTATTTTTTATAATTTTCTTGTTACTTTTTAACTGTAGGTTTCAATCTGAATTTTCAATAAAAATGTGAAAAAAAACATCTATTTAGTGAAAATAGTTGACTGTGAACACTAAAAAAACAGAATTCCTACCCGTAACATGCCTTCCATATCTAACTGTAAAAGCTGTGGGGCACTATCTGTTAATATTGCCATGCCAACACGAAATATCGTCTCCATACCCTGAAATAAAAGACAAGTCACATGACTATTAGATTAAGATATTTCATTGATACGCAACTAATACAAGTATAAGTTTGACACCATGCAAAAGTTTAGAGCTTTTACATGGTCTCAATTTCCAAATATTCATATCTGACAGAAACATGCTTTGTTACAACAGTTTGTAATTTCCCTGAATATGTAATTATAATATTTACATTCTGGGATACGTGATAAAGTAACCATTTCATGTTAGTTTCATTTTTCACTGATATCATCACAGAATGCAATGGATGCTTGAAATAGTTTGATTGTTGACACATAAAAAGCGGAAGATTATTGCTATCATCACAAAATACAAAAATAGGAAATATATGAATACACAAGAACACACCCATATTTGCTATGTTAGTAGAACATCCTGTTACATAAATCTTTGGTTTAGAGCACACCAGATAAAAAAACTAAATAATTACAAAACTGTTTTCATTTTCTAATTTTTTTCCTTATAAGAAAAAATAGTGTTATCCTCAAAACATTGTGTCAAAACAATTTTCTTTGTACAAAAACAACAGTTTCTGGTCAATTTATTTTCCAAAATCGATGAACAATGATATTTTCTTTTTAATTTTGAGGTTTCCTAAAATTCTCATAAACTTTGTGCTTTTACTGTTTTTTCATAAAAACTGAATTTTTCTAAAATTCTAACAAAACCTAAAAAGCGTTCACGTTTGTAACTGATATGTGCAAATGACCAGAAACATTACACTGTAAAACACTTATTTCCACATTTTTGCTGAAGAAGAGAATCATTGAAGATAAAATCAAGTGAAAATATCCCTGAAAACTTTATTTAAAACAGCATAAATATCTTTTCATTGTTAATGCATCATGCAGCTAAAGATGACTGCGCAGATAAAAATCTACCGTAAAATCTGTATTAGAAGCCGCATCCCTAAAAGAAGCCGCACCCATTCGTTTTGAATAATTGAGAACCAAAAATTCATCATTTCTCATATGTGTAGATGCTCTAATAGAAGTCGCATACCCTCTGTTGCATTGTACCATTTTAATAGAAGCCGCGGCTTCTAATACAAATTTTACAGTAATATTTTTTTGTTGACTTCCCAAACAGTTTCACCAACTTAGATTCTTCCTAACTAAATTCACTGATATTAACTTTGGTTGTTCACTCACCTCTGAAATGAAAACATCCATAATTCTACATGATAACGATAGTGATAATGATGTTGCAAACAATGTTAGAAACCATGGCGATGCATACATAGATGTGTAAAAACTCTGTGTTTGGAAATGGAAATATAAATCTGGCAGGTGTTCCTGAAAAAAAAAAGAAGTACATGTTTCAACAATTTGAGTTCTCCTGCAAGTATTTTGTTGCTAAGGCCATGGTGTTTATTGCTAAGTCCATGGTGTTTGTTGCTAAGGCCATGGAGTTTGTTACTAAGGCCATGGTGTTTGTTGCTAAGGCCATGGTGTTTGTTGCTAAGGCCATGGTGTTTGTTGCTAAGGCCATGGTGTTTGTTGCTAAGGCCATGGTGTTTGTTGCTAAGGCCATGGTGTTTGTTGCTAAGGCCACGGTGTTTGTTACTAAGGCCAAGGAGTTTGTTACTAAGGCCAAGGAGTTTGGTACTAAGGCCAAGGAGTTTGTTGTTAATGTTTTGGCGTTTGTCTTACAATCTTCGGTAACAAATTTTAATAGGATAAATTTGTGAATATGTGTGGGAGCATACATAAACAATATAATTACCATGGCCCAATTTTTTAACTGACTGGAAAACTTACATTAAATGCAATGATCAATTTAGTTTCCTGTTTGTTAGTAAAATGTTATATACAGTAAAACTTGCTAAGTAAATTTTACCTACCTGTATAAGGTTCTCTAGTTGAAACATACAAAGCCCTAGTTCAGCCATACTTGGTTTGAATAATTCTCTTAAACGGTAATCTTGCATAAGTTTAACAACCACACAAAAAGCTTCTTCCTCCGGCATCTGTGGAATAAAAACAAAAGGTACTGATTGGTTAATTAAGTTAATAATAGTTTATTTAATATCAGTCCAAACACATCAATATTTCATTTTTATGCATTTTTCTATAATTATGAACCAAATAGACATATTTTACCATTTGTTACCGATATTGACATTTTTTTTTAAAAATTAATATGGAAACAAATATTCAGTTTTATTTTGTGAAATGTGACATCCAAAAGGTAACAATACCAAAGTATTACTGTAAAATACTTTATTTTAGATGGAATTAATTTTCGCTGAAAGGACTTTTTGGATGTTTTGTATGGAATTTATTTTCACTGATTTTTGACAAGTTGAATGAAAAAAATATAGGAAAACAGGTATACTCACTTGATTTTATTTATAGCAAAAATTTATTAATTCCAAGCGAAAATAAAGTATTTTACAGTGACCCCTGAAAGTTATTTATTTATATTTAGGCCAGACTTTTATTATCCCTTGTTTCGCGAACCCACCGAATGAACAAGAGCCGAAAATGAAATAAAAATTAAATGTTATTTCAGCGTAATTTCTCGCGCTCGCCGACTTGTAAGCACAAAAAATTGCTAACAAAATATTATTTTTATCTTCATTTTTTTACCGCCTGCCGCATAACAAATCCAAGTTGCATTTTTCGTGGAAGTATCATGATCAAAGTATCGAAGTCTCGCACAGATGAGAAAAAAGGTTATACATGGAATAAAATTTTATTTCATTTCTTTTCTCCGATCAATGATCTCACTTACAATTCTTTGAGAATCACACAAATCTAATGGGAAAAAAAGGATTAATTTTATTTTTTTCCTGCCCTCCTCAAAAAAATTGCCTTATAAAAACTCAAGAAACAAGGAATAAAAAAAGTCTTGCCTTACTTGTACATGTGTACATATAAAATACTAACCTGCATCAGAAGTAATCCAACAATAAAACCACATCCCTGGCAGTATCCAACTTCCCGATCATGTAGAGAATAGGCCTAGAAAAAAGATTGAAATTATTATTCACAAATCTTGTCACTCACATAATTATACAATCCTACACAGTAGGTCGTATCCAGATATGTGGAATACAAACACTATTACTCCAATTCACAAGAAAGGTGATCCACTGAATCCAGAAAACTATAGAGGAATTTCAACCAACAGTATCATCAGAAGGATCTTTGCTATGATATTTAATCAAAGAATTAAACATCTTGAAGATTTATGGAAAAACACAGGACCATTGATCATCTTCTGAATTTTACATATTATGGTGAAAAAATACCAGTCTAAGAATAAAAAACTGTTCTTCTGCTTTGTGGACCCAAGATGCTTTGATACTGAATGGCAAACAGGTCTTTTATACGTTCATTATATAAGATTATCAAAAACATGTACTCAAATATTAAATTCCATGACAAACTTGATTACAAAATTACACCTCCATTTCAGACAGTCAATAGAGTCAAAGTCTCACTTGATCAATTATTTTCATTAATGACCTTGTTGAAATATTGAACAAGACTACTACTGACCAGTTGAAGATAATATTTGGTAATCGTAGTCCTAAATAACTATTAAAAATAGCTAGACGTTTCGAGCAATGGCTCTTTATCGATAGCATAGAAGCAAGTGTGACTACTAATTTACTACTGACCAGAGTTATATGTTGTTTATTATTTGCAGATGATATTGTCCTGACATCAACTTCCAACTTAACACACTTCATAATTATACTACTAAATGGGGCTTGGAAGTCATCACAACTAAAACTAAGACATTTTCTAAAATTCAGCAGAGATCAGATGATCCATTTTTTACTTATGGTGACATAACACTAAACCATACCAAGACATTAACATACTTGGGTGTGATATTAAGCAGCAATGGATCCCTAAACAAAACTATGGAGAGACTCTCAGATAAGGCCAGAAAAGCAGAACAACTGATGGCTAAGATTAATAAATAATAGAATTTGTTCAGGTGATAACTTCCTTGTAATTCACAAATCACACGAAACCTATGTGTAGAGTGAAATTATGCAGTTAGAGTTAACATCTACATATTTTGTCTACATTCAATCTATTTCATGTGTTGAATAATGTTGTAATATTATTAGGTCAGTTCTATTTTTAGTACAATCTTGTAACCATGACAACTATTAGCTGTTCATCTTAGCACACTACACTGTCAGATAACAACTTTTACTTAGCTCAAGATTCAGAGAAATTTATTCACAACACACTTAAGGTAAAAATTAAGGTTGATGCAATTTAGTTTTTTTGATTTAAAGCAATATATATTTTTAGAAAACTATTATTTATTACTAAAAGATGATGTAAATCATTTTAGGACAATATTGATCAAATTAAACATCTCTGAGAAAGGTCCACCTGAGGTACAACATCAAAGCAACTGAACTTGCGGTTTTTAACAAGAAGTTGAAAATATCATTTTTTACCCAAAATGAGATAATTGAAGATATCATCACGAAATGAACAAATTTAAGAGAGGTCTACCCAAGGTACTTAATACACCAAGTATCAAAGCAATCAGTAGTTTTTAAGAAGAAGTCAAAAAGGTAAAAAGTTGACACAGACGGCTATGGCTGACAGACAACAACGGATTATCACTCGCATGATAAGCTCCACTTGAAAAAGTCAATAACAGAGCTAAAAAGTGGCTCATAAGAGAGCTGAAAGAAATTTTTGACTACATACTTTGATAATGCTATTTTGACAATGAAATGATGTTTTTCATCTCAAATCTTGTTACTGGTAATAAATGTGCCAAATCCTGTGTTTTTATTAGTAATGCCATCTATTTATTTTTCAAAAACATATTTATCCTTTTTAAATTTTTTGTAGAAGTCTATTGTTGCCATTTTTTTCTACTTATTCTGGTACACATTCCCAATTCTTTCTCTGAAAAGAACATTGGAATTTTTAGTTTTAAGATCAGTAGAACTAAACAGAGTAATTTCCAATAATTTATTAATAATACCAACCCAGAGATCATTCAGCCTTAAAACTATTTTCTACAAAGGCAGCATTGAGGATAATATTATTAGTTTGTTGACAATAAAGTTTTTGATAAAATTTCATCACAAAACTACGTCAATCAAACGTCAATCATGATAGGATACCTAATTCATGATAGGATACCTAATTCATGATAGGATACCTAATTCACTGTTAGAAGATTTTCTATGGATACCCAAAACTCTCTACTTATGTTGATCTATAATATAATTTATTAGGTTAGAAACAATATTTTTAGCATCTCATTATCCATGTGTGATATAAAAACTTAACCATATATAGACACAATCCTAGATAAAGAGTGCCCTCTGCAGGAAAGAAAAGTGCCCTCTGCAGGAAAGAAAAGTGCCCTCTGCAGGAAAGAAAAGTGCCCTCTGCAGGAAAGAAAAGTGCCCTCTACAGGAAAGAAAAGTACCCTCTACAGGAAAGAAAAGTACCCCCTACAGGAAAGAACAGTGCCCCCTACAGGAAAGAACAGTGCCCTCTACAGGCAGGAAGAGTGCCCTCTACATGCAGGAAGAGTGCCCTCTACAGGCAGGAGAGTGCCCTCTACAGGCAGGAGAGTGCCATCTACAGGAAAGAATAGTGCCCTCTACAGGCAGGAAGAGTTCTCTCTACAGGCAGGAAGAGTGCCCTCTACAGGCAGGGAGAGTGCCATCTACAGGAAAGAATAGTGCCCTCTACAGGCAGGACGAGTGCCCTCTACAGGCAGGACGAGTGCCCTCTACAGGCAGGACAAGTGCCCTCTACAGGCAGGGAGAGTGCCCTCTACAGACATGAAGAGTGCCCTCTACAGTTGCAAATAAATCAAATCTCTATACCTTCATCACATTGAACAGAACCTCTTGACCAGGCCCATCTTTTTCTTTGAAAAATTCGTGTTCTGGATACGTCCTGGCAATGTCTCGTCTGATAACTTTCTCACATGGGGAAGACATCTTCAAATATTCCACATACTTTTCTTTTAATGGTGAATCATGAGCCCGACACATCAACTGCCAGACAATACCACGGAAATGATGAGGTATGCCACGACGTACTAAATCCTGACAAGAAACACAATTCATCGTAAACTGTTAAATATTTTATGTTAACAATGTTTGCTATTTCATCATGAAAGAATTTAAGGGAGCGTGATGCCATTTTGTAATTTTCTTTGACTGGAAATTTTTCCTGCAAAACGAAATTATGTTAGGGTAAATGTGTTCACATTTTCAGCATATACATGTACTGTGGAATACTTTATTTTCGCTTGGAATTTATTTTCACTATTTTCGCTGAAGGAATGATTCAGTGAAAATAAAATCTAGTGAATATACCTTTTTCCTATCTTTTACATCAACTCCCCAAAAGTGAAAATAAATTCCATATAACACACATAAAAAGTCATTTCAGCAAAAATTAATTCCAGTGAAAATAAAGTATTTTACAGTATTACATGCAGTCAGTCCATGGAATAATTGTATTCAGCATTGTACATATAAGTAACTTCCACACATGTGGTACATATGTGATGAATAGATTTTGCACCAAATTTAGGTTTTCACAAAATGTATTTTATGTGTACCTTGCATGTTAGAAGTGTATCACCAATAGAAATGCATTTGAAAGTATTATATACAAGGTCATCAAAATAGGATTTGCTTTGACACATTTGTTATTTACTTAAGTGCCTATTAAATAAGTGGTTAATAAATAGAACAAATATGGTATTTTGAGAAATACTTACTTTGACAAATCGAGTTTTCTTTTTGTAAATATCGTCCCAGTCATTAACAATTCGACCCCATATAACCCAGGAATCTTCAGGAATTTCACATGTTGAACTCAGATGACTTGCAATAGAACTAGTTGATTTCAAACTTGAATCTGAACCTCGCCGTGAGGACTCTGATGGTGTTGACAAAGATTTCAATGATTTGGCGTCCGATTCAAGTAACCTGCAAAATGAACATAATGAGGATACACCATTTCTATAAAGTGCGCCCTCTAGTGAACACTTGTATTGGCAAAATGGCGCATATGATTGAAGGCAATGTCTTTCAAAGTAAACATTGTATTCGGCCCCGTTCTCGTCACAGTCACAAAGAGTATTCAAAACAAATGGATTGGTAGAATCTTCCCCAAATCAAGATAAGTCAGCGTACAAATTCATGGTTACAGTGCATAAACCAATATGTGACTATGAATAAACTAGTACATGTACTTTCCCAACCTATAACAGTACAATTTTTTCTTGCCTAAATTTTGGACAGGCATTTTGAACATTTTTTTAGGTATTTCTTTAACATTCCGTTTTTTATTTTGAACCGAAAAGACACATTATTACATAGTGGTATATGGAAAGAAAAATTAAGAGGAAAAAAAAATAAAATAAAAAAATAAATAAATACAAATTTAATCTGGTATAACAATTACATTTGCCAATTATCTAGTGGTTCCAAAATTAAAACATTATTTAAAAAAATGAAAAATCCACAAATCTTCAATAAAATTTTTGAAGAAATATAGAAAAATGAAACTAGCCATTCAAATCTGTAAGCATCATTTTATGTTGCATAGATTTATGGTTTTGGGAATAAACAATTTATATATTCCACACTTAACTTTATATATCCAGTGGGTTTAATTCAGCTCATCAGTGGTGTACACAAAACTGAAGTATTGAGAAATTGTATGAAATTGCTGCCGTTTCTTTAGAAAAGATAACTAACTGTTCATATCACCAAAGGCAGTTAAAAGGAACACAATTAAATTTGTTTAGCATTACATAAATTTGAGAAATTTGATGAAAGAAATCAATTGAATAGACGATTCATTATACTGCGTTGTTTGAAAACAATATTAGGATTCTATCATTTTACTAAATGTATTTTAATTAAACATTTTTGATGAAAAATAAGCAGCAATCTGCTATTATTAAATAATTTTAATTTTTAAATAATGTTTACTAAAATCAATTGAAACTGTTTTTTTTTTAAACTGTACATTGTGTATTTTCTAAAATCTTGAAAAAAAATTATTTTACCGGTAACTGATGCTTGGAATGAACAGAAAAAATTTATATTTTTTTTAAGGGAGGGTGCCAGCCACACCTCCATATGAAATGAGTCAGCAGAATAAATAAGTACACAAACATTTGTATTACTGCATTTATTAACATTATAATAATTCTCTATAAACATTTTTTAAAATTAACCTGTTCACAACCATTGTTAAGTTCAACCTTTTCATTACCAGATTTCCTCCCCCAAATTTGTTGGCACTTTTTTCTTATATTTCTCAATATTTCTAGTTTTGGAGCCAAGAGACAAATTTTGAGACATTTTTAGTTTTGTCTCAATCTTCTGAAGGAAAGTGCGTACTATAAATGGGACTATTTTGTGAATTTGTGGTGATAAAAAGAGGGAACTGGTGGTGAAAAGGTTAACCTTCCACAAAGCGGTCCTTACTGTACATCAAAAATAGAGAAAATATTTCCGACAAAAATTATGCAGTTGATACAAAAAAATAATAGAATTAAATTCAAGAGTGACATTGTATTTCAACTAACCTATTTGCTTCTTCTAATTTGGCAGCCAATTCCTCATCTGTAGTCCCAGTAATAATAGCCATGGTTGTCATGGTTACTGTATTATCTTCAAAGGACATTACCTGTATCCATTAGCACACTATCTAGGCAAGAAACACAATATTGATAGATTTTTACAACCTCACAAAAGAAACGACAGTTTTCATGGAACTAAAAACAACTGATGTCCTTTGACATTTCAAATCAAGAGGGATTATGATTTTATAATCAATCTTTAATGTGTTTCAATAAAGCTTTTAATATTTTGGGGAATAACAGTTCTATGTGTATCCACATACACTTGAACTATACTTTAAACAAGCCATGCATGGCACAGTCCCCGTTAGTTATCAAATTTAAGATATATAGTTTTGTTTATAGTAATATAGCTGGAATATAACCATGTCAGGAATATTATTTTTTAACATTAAAATGATTGACAATTGTATCTGATCGTCAAAAAAGTACTTGTCCATATTGAGAGATATTGCTCTGGAACAGCATTCAAAATCAGCCATTTTGAATACATGCATATATATAACATGATTTTGAATCCAATCTGAAAAATAAATGATGTGCATCAGGAACCTGTAATGTCTAACATATGTACCAAGTTTGAACGAAATCCATCCATATGATAAATGTTTGATACTTGATGATTTTTTAGCACAAAAATGGCCACCATTTGGCCATTTTGAATAGGATCTTCAAACCAATATATCTGTCTATCTATGACATGATGTATATTGAAAATTTAAACATAATCAGTGAAAGCAAGTCAGAGATATGGCACGAGAACCACATTCATTAAAACAAAATGGCCGCCAGTCGGCCATTTTGAATCTTATCTGAAAAACAAAATTATTTGCATTAAGGTCCCATAATGTCTAATGTATATGCCAAGTTTGAACAAAATCCATCTGTAATTTAGTCCCCGTTTTCGGACTACGTCCGAACAGGGACTAAATATGGATATAAATTTTAAAATATGAAGAAGTATTGATTTTTGGACATGCAACTCAACTGCATACAAATGATGACAAAAAATGGTTTTGTTTGTTTGCAATGAAATAGGTTTACACTGAACGGACAGGGAGATAGACAGAGAAAATAATTTGATTTAAGATATACTTTTTGTATACAAGCAAGTTTACAGCAAAGATAGAAAAAGATATTTGTTTTTAGACAGTGTTTGAGCCTGTGGTTGACAAATAGACTAGTCAAAGGTGCAGGACAGGAGTCAGGTGAAAACTCTGCTAAGAAACAAAATTTATCACAGACTAGAGAGAAATGCATTAACAACTTGTGAGAAATGTCAATGATCTCCCAAAACATTTTTCTAGTTTGTTTGTGACTATCTTGGAAAATTTGTGGAATTTTTCTCTAGCAATTTAACCACCTGTCCAGAAAATTGTCACATTCAGATGCTATCAATCCATCTTAATGTCCTTATTCTAAAACCTGTTTAATACATGTGCAATGCTGATCTGTTTTAAAGGTTTAAGGTAGAAGCCTACTCATAAATTAAAAAACTCAGAATTTATTCATTTTGCAACAAACTGTACTCCAAGGCAATATAGGGATATTGACTTAAAAAAAGTTGGGGGTCACCAGCCTTATTTTCGAGATATTGATGGTTTTATTTTAGTGGAAAGTCGCCATTTTGGAACTAACATAATGCTTTTACCATAGGTTCCTATGGCAGAGATATTATGCAATATCTCAAAATCTAGCCTGGTGACATAGGCTGAAAAAATCATATATTGTTAATGAACGAGTACTTTTTGTTGTTCTGAATTATTTTTTAAATCTGGGTTTTAAAAAGTGTCAAAAAATGCAATTTTTCTTTAACATTGTGTTCTATAGAATTGTTCTAAAAATGGTGATTTTCAAGAAATATTAGGACACTTTTCTCAAAAAGCATAACTGTAACACACAAAATAATGCTATTTAATTGTACCATGGGACATTAGCTTCATGATTGTACATAATAAACTAATAAACATTGTCATGTGATTTATGACCAATTTTGTCAAAAATTGTGAATAGGCTTCTACCTTAAGGGTTTTTTGGTTGGGGAGCGGGAGTATACAGTGATATTTAAAAGTATTATAGGAAAACATACATTTCAGAAAATGTGACTACAGGTCAAAATAAATTCTTTTTTAATTATCAACGAGATGTTGAATGGTTTACAAGGATCAAGAAGAGACTGCCTGTCAATAATCTTGGCAATCTTGAAAGAATGTAAACTTATACGTATGCATAGTCTGTCCATCAAATTATGTGATATGCAAATCACACCAATTTGTGACATCATTAAGATGCTTGTTAATCGCAGTAAAATGGTTTTTATCATTTATACACTCCTGCATGCAGGCGTAGGCTTTCTGTCATCTGACATGCATGTGATCAGGCTGAGTAATTCGGTTCCTTTTTTTATCTTTAAGTCAAATCGAAATAGTCCCCATAGTATATTTCATTGTAAGTCAGCACATACAAATTTCTTGTGAATGTTGTTTACAACAGGCACTCCAGTAACCCTAGTAACATTAATTTTGCTCTATGAATATTTCAAATTAACCAAGTTCAGCCAAGCGTTGAGAATGCTGGAAAACAATTACTGGTGTTGTACTGCCATGCTTTAAGCTTAAAAATAAATAAACAGACATTCATCCAAAATATTAAACCATAGCAATGAATGGTTGATTGAGTAAAAATAGAGCTGGCAGCATGTTGTTAAGCATGTGAATCGATTAAATGGTGACACGTACATGTGTTTGTGTATAACAACCCAATATACATTAATTCATTGTGGCTTTCTAGTGGTATATTGTCAATCTCTGGTACAGTCTGCTTTGAGCTTAGCCTAGTTTGCTTTTAAAACTGACACATCTGAATTGTGTAGAGTTATAGTAACTATACTAATATATTACTACAAACAATAATCTAAATTATTGATGATATTTGCTTTGAAAATTATTAGCTTTTATGATAAGGCAAAGCCAGTGTGGAAGTTGATACAATGTACTGGGAATACTGTAGAATACTTTATTTTCGCTTGGAATTAATTTTGGCTATTTTCGCTGAAGAGATGATTCCGTGAAAATAAAATCCAGCGAATATGCATTATTCCCTATGTTTTACATTAAACTTGTTAAAAATGAGTGAAAATAAATTCAATACAAAACACATGAAAAGTCTTTTCAGTGAAAATTAATTCCAGCTAAAATAAAGTATTCTACAGTACCGCATAGTAGGTTTTATTGACATATATTAATCAACTTTGTATAAATAATAAATATCAAAACTACCGAGATATTTAATTATTCTATGTAATTTCAACTATCATAAATGCAATATACTAAAACAGTGATCAAAATTATCAGCCTTATTGTTATGATGACTAAGTTTGCATAGTTGAGTATACCGGTATATTTTAAAGTAAATCACTGTCAAGTATAATTCAGAAAATTATTTGATGGTTACCAATCATCTGTATTATACTGAATGTCAAAACCATGTTTACAGAATATGTCATAAAAATGTAGCAACTAAAAAATCATCCATTGATTTGCAAATTAGTTTATGTCTTTGTTTTAATTTTGACAACAAAATGATCAATGAAATGAGTACTACTAAGGAGGCACTCAGATTTTTTCATTTTTTTCAAAGATTGTAGATGTGGTATATATGAGCAATACCTATGTTTAATAGTTATTGATTTTTGTAAAATTTAGGCATTCTGAAGAGTTCGCTTTATAAATGTAAAAACAAACAAATTCAGGTAAAATTGCAAAAAAAAATAATTAAAAAAAAAAGTTATGTTTCTCAAGTTGTATTCTACTACATTTACCAAGAAAAAAACTGTGGTATCACTATTAATATCTTCACAGTACTAATTCAAATGAGTACATCTTCAATAATAGATATATTTGCACAGAGTCACATGACCACATGGAGGCTGCATCCAAATTTTTAATTAGTATGAATTATGAGCTTTCATAAAATATATACTAGTAGTTTGATGTGATTTAAAATAACTCTTCTATTAAAATAATTTTACTTCCTGAAATCCTCCATTGCATCTTTACATGCTGTACAGTAGACTTTTCAACACCACAATTCATCTGTACTTAGGCTACTTATTTATCCACTCGTATCTTCACGAGGTCACATAGCAAACAACTTTACTCTAAAGATAACACACTTCTAAAATAATCTACATTTAACCTCAATAATCATGCTAAGTTTTACAAATATAATTTAAGCTGTTCATGGTTGATGCGCATTCACTTGTGGTAGTGATGAATAAATAGAATGATGTTACATGCATTTGAATTTTAAAGGAATTTTAAAGGAATAATGTTCCAGATTACTGCCTCAACATTACCTTGGAATATCTTATTCTCAGGGGCAAACATCCAGGCATTTTCACCGCCTGGCAACCATCTCAGAAAACGGTACTTTGGGATGGTTGTTGAGACTCTCCTGAACAGTTTAACAAGATTACCTCTGCGTGTGTAACATATATAAATTTGGTTGTTCAGGATTACTTTGAAGTTGAGTTTGTACTGTTTTCTCAAATTTAGCCATTTTCACTGTCTCTTCGACCGGAGTTCCACAGCAGCTTGCACAGAGCCCATAGAAATACATGGTACAGTGGTGGGCGTCTTAGCAACAGAGAACGTTCTGTGATGAAGCTCCGTCCAGAGGATTGGGCATGGTACTGTGGCGTGATTTGTTTACAGTTTTGCCAACCAGCATTGAACATGTGAATGTCTGACGAAAATAATGATGCTCACTGATCAGCACTTGCAATTTGCTGTGATAACATTGCCAGTACGTTGTTTTATTTACAGAGACACTTACATGTACATTTAATATAACAGCAGCGAAAAATGCCATTATTTTATCTTTGAGTGCAAACGATCGGTTCTTGTCAACCATTCAATACGCATTACATATTGTGACAGTTGAGTATGATATATAATAGATAATATTTGGTATGTTGTCCTTAAGTAACCATTCCAAATAGCTAGACGTTTCTCAATTCAGTGTATGCCAGAGGGCTTGGGATATGGATAATTATTCGTGTGAAATTTTTGGGCTAATCTGCACTGGCTCAGAAGGTTGTAAATGATTAGCTAGTTTGAATTTCTAATTTGCATAACATTACTGAGAATGAACGTGCATTCAACGCCACAAGTTTTTTGTTTTTTTAGCCAATCAGAATTCATCTTCCGAGCCAGTGCAGATCAGCAGAAATTTTTATGACCATTTTTTGATAATGACCATAACCAGTGCCTGTCAAATTTTCAATCATTTCCTAAAACTGAATATGCCAAGGATGACAATACATGCATGTATTGTTGCATCAACAAGGCATGATGTCCCAATGAATCTGTATCACACACACACTGATCCAGGTTACAGGATGACCTGTTTTTGAGGTAGAACTTTTTTTAAATTTGAGACCCACAATTATCTCCTGAATACCTTACCACTGTGATTTCAATCAGTGAAAATCAAATGCAAAAAATCAAGTTGTGACAAACATAATTAGACATTAAAGCGTGGTGGTCGTCGCGCAGCGCGTGTTCGAATTTCATGTAAATAAACAATGTATTTTACACGCGTTGTATACGTCGCTATGAGTCCCATATCGAACAGAACAGGGCACGACGACTGCTGCCCTTTGAACGTCACTTTTAAACGTTTCTAAAACTGCCCTCTTGAGGATGGTAGAAATATAAACTATATTTCAGAAATAAATAAACCGTATTTACATATTTGAAATCTTAATATTTGCAACAACACATCCTAATGAACCATAACTTTGCTATCAACAACCCCAGACAACAAAACCTTTGAAATACATGCTCATAAATAAAGTTACCACACAGGTTTCATGGAGATAGGAAATAGTAAACGGATACAAAACCATGTGTCCATATGATAAACATTTTCCTGCATTTAAATTTTCTAATTTATCAACAATATGCATATTTTCTTTGTGACAATTCTACAAACAAAATTCTTACCTAACAACAAACAATTATTATACAAGTAAAATCACCACAAAAAAAAGGCCCACATTTTTTTAAATAATTATGAAGAGTAATAAACATTATAGTCACTTGATTTATTTTATTTCCTGGATAGTATCATACACAAAATAATTTTTCTTAAATTCTGCAGAATGCAAAGCACCCCACTACCACTCACCCACCTCAACCGTGGTGACCCACCCATTCTCAAGAATAATGGTAATGGTTAAACCCAAAATGCAGGCACCTGGGTAATGTATGTCATATGTCACTATGGGCAGGTATACCTCATGAAGTACTCTATATTCAAGTAGGTAACTTGAGTATTACAAGTATAAGAGGTGTTATTGACAAGTGTTATAACTCATCAAACAGGGAAAGAAAAAACAGCACAATAAACAAAATGAACGACAATGTCAACTTTTGTCATCATTCACAAAGCTAATTTTTTCTATATTTCTTCACAAAATTTGATTAAGACCTGTAGCCTACAAGAAATTATGTATATTTTATCCAAAAATAAAGAAATGATAGAAAAATTAAAAAAAAATAAAAAATGTTGTACATTGGTGGAAATACTGATGATGTTCAAATTGAAATGCTATTGTATAGAGTCTGTCTATATGATGATCTAATTTCATTTTTATGAATGTTTGTATGATTATATCACTAGGTGTTTTTGCATTCACATCTCGGTTTTTACAATCAACAATTTCCATGGTTACTGACAAATCAATGGCAGTTAGTGGTGCTATTTGTCAGAACAAATTTGGTTGACACACACACACACAAGTAATGAGTTCCATACAAAGTACCCGTACACAAGTTTGTACTTGTGTAGCCAGAGTCTGAAATTATCGTTCAAGCGGCCAGGGTATCTTTCCAGTAGGGCTGGTAAAAATTAAAACATACATGCCCAGTGGTCTGGTAAAATTTGTTCATAGTCTGCTTCAGTATAAATTTTGAAAAAGCATTGCAATTCAACTGAATATTATTGGTTGAACACCATTTGCCCTGACGAATACTGTGAAACAAAGAACACAACAATTAAATACAGGAACTTTAAATAATCCATTTTATGTGTTGGTGCTTACTTGTAATGGGAACAGAAGTATTTTAAAATAATTTTTAATGCAATAATTTGTTTACATACTCTTCTGTCTGGTACATAATTCAGAGACATTTCAAACACTGATGTAGTGTTCTCTGCAAGAATTACATGACAGTGTCAAAAAAGTGAAATTTATGAAATTATTGCAAAACTGAAATTATTGATATGATAATTATGTTCTAATCAGCCATCATTCATATGCTAATTAACTGACATTCATATGCAAAATAGATATCATACTAGGAAGATGAATAGCTAACATACATGACAAGAAAAATTGCATACCATAATATTTTCGGGTTTAACTCAACATACAATGCAACACTAATGAACATTGCTCTTTTCTTGTTACAAATTCAACCTATTCGCTGTAGCTCATTACTGACAAATGAAAAAAAAGTAAATCCCAGTCATTGTGATTCATGAATTTATAAGCCTCGTCCCTGTGATATCAAATGCATTGAATAGGTATGAATGCAAACTACTAGAACATATAAACAAAATGCAGATTTTCCCAACTGATAAAGGAATATTTATAAAGAGATCTATTTTCATCTACTCTGAATATCACTAAGAACATTTAATTTTATAATTTCAAAAAGATGAAAACCTCAATAAAATAATACATTCTATAAAAAATACAAACACGGCACAAATAATCATGATTTAAATGTCATAATCATATCCATATGAGTTGATGTATATATCAGAGCACAGAAACCCCATAACTGCAAAAGTTTTTTAACTTCATCCATGCTTGGTATTAAGGAATGAAGTATTATTCAACAGAATTCAATCACTCTGAAGTTCTACAATTTGAGATTTAATTTTAACATAAAATGTGAACTTGGTTGACATCATAATTGTTTACTGTTTGGGAACCTACATTATTATGAAACAATGAATCAAGTAATGCAAACATGTTAGCAAATGTCCCTATTTGAGGCTTGATCTTTGAATTTTTAATTGGATACGACAAGCATAAATGAACACTTACTTGGAAAAGTAATGTTTTAATATCCCACACATTTGAACGGCAATATATGAATAATTGTGTTTCCAATACTGTGAAAACATTGTGGGTCGTCGAAATGAGCGGCTGGTGTCATTCAGCAAAGTAACGACATATATTATATTGTATTGAATGTACCCCTACCATCAGTTCCATGGTTAGTCACCACCAGTACAAAACAATGGGTGGAGCCCGCTGGAAAAACGTTGGGTACAGTAAGTTACATGTCGTCGTATCTATTTCACTGGGTTTAAATCCCTAACACGAGCCCCACATGTTTATTCTCGGAATATACACTTGTGTGAAATGACTAAATCAAAACAAAATAGTTGTACCTAGTGCAGTTCGGCAGGACACGAACACCGCCCCCTCCTCGAACATGATGATACGCCCTGTACGCCCTAGATCAGACGGTAATATGAGATGGGCGATAAAAGTCTAAAATACAGCGCCAATGGTAGTAGTGGTGGTTACTGAATTATTAAGTAAAGGCAGTTTCTTCTGATGCCCATTGAAAGCCTTTCGAGAAAGACGAGACCGGAAGACGATCGATGTCTAGACAATCTTAGGGAAACAACACAAAAGGCTTCACGCCGACGCCGCCAGATTTGTAAATTTACCTTTTACGTCTTTGCGTCAGAACTTGTGGTTGACAAAATGCAATGATAATCTCCTGTGTAAAAGAGGACAGCACCGTAACTTGATATACCACACACAGTTCCTCAAGTCAACGTCCAGTCATACCAATGAAAACAGACACGTTGAGTTAGAAAAACCCTTTGGTGGGGGCGCTGTACGCTGCAACCAGCGGGAAATGGAACGAGTTTTGTGATTGGCCGCATATGACGTCATAGTTTACCAGCCTTGCGCACGTTTACAAGCAAGCACAGACCTTCAGTACGGTGGCAATAGTTCACGCAATTCATATAACCGAAAATAATAGCCACACATGTTGCGTGTTTCACGTGTTTGTTCACTCCCGTATGAAAACATGGATTTACAGTCACTCGATCATAAAGTTATGAAGAAAAATTCTAGAATTTCTGACTAATTCTATGTTTCAAAAAAAGTTAGAAATTGATTGAGAGTGAGGTAACAATCACTCATGACCAACATCAATGATTGAGATCCCAGTTTGCTTCTCTTTAGTTGCAGTGTTTTTTTCCGTTTTTTTGTTTTTTTTTCTTGTATTTTTACACTGGAATGTGAAAGATAAACGTGAATTATGAAATAAATAACGAGCCCAGCAAAACAAAACTTTCAAACTTGAAAAATATGACTCGGACATTAAAGAAATTCAGATTATTGAGACTGCTTCTAGTAATCACTTACACTTAGAATCTTACGACACAACACCCCCCCCCCGGAGAAGAAA